ATATATTATTGACGCAAAGAAAAGAAAGAAAGAAAGAAAGAAAGAACTGCCGGAGTATTAAGAAGTCAGACAAAAGAAAGAAAGAAAGAAAGAAAGAAAGAAAGAAAGAAAGAAAGAACTGCCGGAGTATTAAGAAGTCAGACAAAGTGAAGAAAGAAAGAAAGAAAGAAAGAAAGAAAGAAAGAAAGAAAGAAAGAAAGAAAGAACTGCCGTAGTATTAAGAAATCAGACAAAAGAAACAAAGAAAGAAAGAAAGAAAAAGAAAGAAAGAAAAAGAAAGAAAGAAAGAAAGAAGCGGATTCGTCCGTAGTATTAAGAAATCAGACAAAAGAAAGAAAGAAAGAAAGAAAGAAAGAAAGAAAGAAAGAAATAACTGCCGGAGTATTAAGAAATCAGACAAAGTGAAGAAAGAAAGAAAGAAAGAAAGAAAAATGAAAGTCCAATCATGTAAAACGAGATTTAGAAATTACGCCCAACAGCGTAGAAAAACGTTCGTTACAAAGTGCATTTATGCATGAGTGACGTAACTGCTTTGCTGTTTTTGGTTCCAGGTTTTCCTTATGAAATTCAGAAATTTACTTACGGATTCGGGGAGAGAGTAAGCTTTTTTCATAATTTCAACTTCAACGTCAACTGTGATTTTAATATTGTAGTTATTTTGTTGCCTACTCGATTTCTTCGACACTAGTTTCGTTGTTAAGTTTGTAGACAAACCTTATAATATTTATTTATATTCTGGTGCATATTCTATTTTTGGCATCCACTTTGCCATAGTTGAAATTAGAATAATTTATGTTGCAGGATAGAAAAGGGGATAAAAATCCAGAACAGAAGAAATGCACCGGTCTCAAGTCACATTTAGTTCAATTGTAACTGAAAGTGTTTCTCCAGTTCTTCTGTTTTGAATTTTTATAATGGGTTTGTATTTTTCTACACACTTCACCATATAATCTATTTTAAAATCTGGTATGACAGAGTAGGAAGAGTCTTATTTGAGATATTTAAAAAGGTCTTGGTTAGAGCATGTAAACAAACGATTTCGACTCAAACGAGAGTCTATTCTGAAAACCAAAAACAGAATAATCGTGTACTCTGGGATCCAGCCAATTCCACTGAGTTGGGAATTTTGATTCGTGTGTGTAAGCTTCATTTCCGATCTAAAGAATATACTAGTGTATTTTTTCTGCTATTAGGATTTCATGTAATCACAGAGTGTTGGCTATTGGACGCTTGTTTTTGATGTCTCAACCTAGAACCGTTCATAGGAGAAAATAATACGGAAGAACACTATACTTGAGGAAGCCTGATGAATCTTTTAGCGGATATTAGGTAGAAAATACAACGATATGAATTATGGTTCAAATAACGCACAAAACAATAAAGACTGATAACAAAATACCAGGCTATATTTATCAACTATATATTTGCGATTATTTTTGTAATATTCTGATATATTCGTCTACATGACGTGTCCTTTCAGGACGTGGACGATTATGGCTCTCCACATTTCTCTTTCGAGTCTAGCTCTTGGTTAATTTTTACTTTTACTGTTATTAATGGGCACACACACACACACACACATATATATATATATATGTGTGTGTGTAGGTATATATATATATATATATATATATATATATATATATATATATATATATGTAAGCAAATATGACAGGATATGAAGAAAAATATACAGAAAAACAAAATCTTAAGCAATTATAAGGAATTAATGTTAATATAATATATTATATCAACATTAGTATTGCATAATTGATTTTTGTTTGTTTTTTCTGTATATTTTCTTCATATATATATATATATATATATATATAGGTAACTATACTCGTTTCGAAAAAACCCTCGAATTTTTGATTTGCCAATAATCAAATCAATCTCGAGGGAAAGAAGGTTTTAAAAAAAAGAAAGAGCAAGAAACATGAAAGACTGTCGAAAAAATCGTACAGATACAGGTTTATATATATATATATATATATAATATATATATATATGTGTGTGTGTGTGTGTGTGTGTGTGCGTGCGTTCGTGTGTACAATAAAGAGAAAGAACAATCAGATTAATAATCCGCAGTTCTTTTTTTTTTAAGGTGTTCGATACAAAGTAGAGCATAATATTATATTATTTTTCTTTAAAAATGTTTTTTCATCGGAACACGGAAATTTCTATGTTTCAGAACCTTAAATTTGTTCCATTATCAAGCGATATTGTGTTACTTTTGAAGAAAATGATTTACTTTTCAGGCACTATCCCAGTGTGCCGCACGCTGGGATCATCTCCCTCCAGACCAATAACATCAGGAATTCTCCTTCCTGATAAATCGACCGTGTTGAGATTCTCACCCGAGTCTCCTGGTCAGAAAACGAACATTCTCACCTGTCGGCCACACGCCAATAATATACATATATATTCAATTGCTTATACCCTCTGAGGAGTGGACGATGTATATGTATGTATGCATATCTTTGTGTGTCTGTGTGTGTGTGCTTCTGTGTAACGTTTAGCTATATATACACAGACCAGCAATTCCTCTAAATACAATAAGAGTAAACAAAGCATTCATTTAGTTTCTTCCACTCAAATAAGAGCAACAGAAGTTAAAAAGGCGAAAATAATTTTTTAAAAAATTGGCAAAGACATACAAAAGGACTTGAAAGTGAAGCAATTTCTTTTAGTCGATTTTCTCTTTGTTTTGTTAACTCTGGAACAATTATTTACGCATGCGCAGTATTTTTATATATATATATATATATATATATATATATATATATATATATATATATATATATATATGAGTGTGTGTGTACGTGTGTGTTTGTAGAGACACAGAGAGATAGGACTTTAATTTCCCCAGCTAACGATCTCACATGATTTGAAGTTTATACGAATTGCCGATTGTTGGTGAAATGTAATGTTTTGTGTCCTGACGTCTGGAAGCAGACGACACGAGTGGAAGAAAGATTTGTGTCGTGCCAAAGGGCTAGAAAAATGAACAGAGATAGATTCGAAAAGAAAACCGATAAAAGTGTAAATTGAAAGGGAAGAAAAACGTTTCCAAATAGATATTGAGAGTATTCATTTTTTAAGTACTCGAAGAAAATCCCAACAATATAAGGAGAAGGAAAGTTATGAGAACGAAAGTAAGAATATGAAAGAAAGAAAGAAGGAAAATAAAAATGTACAAGGAAAAAATTAGAATGAAAACAAATAAGCAAGAAAAATTTAAGCAACTGGTTCGCCTTCTACTGCTTATTAAACCCTTTCAAATCATTTAAAATCATGACTTATGGCAATAAACACAATATTTAAACAAGGTTACTAAAATCAAGAAAACATTTTTTTTTTATATTGTAAGACATTTTGGAAGAGATAATAATAGTTTCGCGATACAAGTCTTACTAATTAACCCACAGGTGGAGGGAGAAGCGTGGTTTCATATTTTTCACAAGGGTTTTGGTGAATGTCAATATAAAGTACCCAACTGGAATTGGAACTCGGCTCTCTAACTAACTTCCGATCAATTATCCATAACACCACCCGGACATCCAGGGTTTTTGGCAGGTGATATTTCCCATCTGCTACCCATCTAAGTAAGGTTAAGGCTCAACGTTGCTTAACTTTGGTGATCGTATGTGAAGGAAGAAACAAACAAAGAAGAAGGAAAGAAAAAATAAAGAAAGAAAGAAAGAAAGAATTTAAAAAAAAAAAAAACAAATACAAATTTAAGTGGGATAAAAGAAAGGAAAAATAAACAAATACAAAAAGGTAGATTTGATTTATTTATTTATTTTTGACTGTTTTTTTTGGCTTAATTTTTATTTACTTGTTTCTATTTTTATGCGTTTTTTCTTTTTTATTTGATTGTTTATTTTTTATGTTTCTTTTTTATTTGTTTCTTTTTATCTGTTTCTTTTTTGTTTGTTTGTTTCTTTCTTTTTTATCAGTTCCTTTTTTATTTGTTTATTTTTTGTTTGTTTCTTTTTTATCTATTTTCCTTTTTTTTTCTGTTTGTTTCTTTATTCATCTTCTTATTGACTTTGATGTATTTGTGGATTATTTAAAGCCGGAACCTATTTTGGATTGGCAGAATGATTCTTTATTTTTCGAGACTATATTGCATTAATATAATTTGGGAGAATAACACTGACTTTTCCACATAGAAATACGACTTTTTAACCCATAGCTGGGGAAAGAGAAAAATGGATTCATCCGCTTCTCAAGGGTATTCGTGCGTAAGTGTATGCAACGAGCTCGTCTTGGGTTCGAACTTGTCCCCTCGAAGAAGTATGGAGGGAACAGAAGAAGATGAAGGCGACTACGACAACGAAGAAGAAGAAGAAGAAGAAGAAGAAGAAGAAGAAGAAGAAGAAGAAGAACAACAACAACAACAACAACAACAATAGCAAGGAATGAAAAATATGATAGATGTTCGCTTGAAATTATAGCCTTGTAAGTGGAGAAAGACAAGAGACTAATACAAAAGGCAAGAAATACGATAGAAATAAACAAACACACAAACAACCAAATATATGCAAAATGGAAAGAGTCAGTAAAAACGAAAAAGAAGTAAGAGGTGAAATGGGGAAGAAGACACGAATGAAAAAACAGAATATGCAACAGAAACTTCCAAGACGATGTAATTATTAACTGCAAAAGAAGAAAAGAAAGCGAACGAGAAGAAAGTTGGAAAGAAAGAAGAAAAAGAAGAAGATGATCTGTAGGATGTAAGAAAGAAGAAGAAAAGAAAAATTGAAGAAAACAGAAGTAAAGAGGGGGTAGCTGAAATACTTAAGAAGGAAAGACGAAGTAGAAAAGCCGAAGAAGTTGAGAAAGAAAGAAGAAAAGAATGTTGAAATATGCGAAGAAAAAAAGAAAAAAACATGGAGAAAAATAGGTAAATAAGAAAAGGAAATGATTAAATAGTTCAGAAGGAAGAAATGTTTATAGAATAAATGAGAAATAAAAAAGAAAGATGAGTAAAATGCTTAAGGAAGAAAAGAAAAGAAGAAGAAAGAAAGAACGAAAGAAAGAAAGAAAGAAAGAAAGAAAGAACAGATAGATGAGCTGAAATAGATAAAAAATACAAAGGCAAGAAAGAAGTGCTTAAATAAGGACTAAAGTTAAAAGTAGATAAAAAAAGAAAAGAAAGAGGAAAAATGAGGAAAATGAAGTAGAAAAAAGGAGAAAAGGAAAGAGACAGAGAAAGTAAAGGAATGATAAAAGAGAAGAAAATGAAGGAGAAAACGAAGAAAGGGAAGAAGAAAAGGAATGAGACGAAAGAAGAAAAGGAAAGAGCAAAAGTAGATACGGAAGTAGAAAAAAGGAGCAAACAACGAAAAAATATGAGTTAAAGGAAGAAAAGGAAGTAGAAAAAAAAAAGAAAATGAAGGAGAAAAAGGAGAAAAGAAAGAAGATAGGAAGTGGAAAAACGAAAAAAGTATGAAACAAATGAAGAAAAGGAAAGACATGAAAGAAGAAAATGAAGTAGAAAAAAGAGAAAAGGAATGATACAAAAGTAAACGGAAAAAGAAAAAGACGAAAAGGAATGAGACAAAAGAAAAAATGAAAGAGAAATAAGAACAAGGAAGAAGTAAAAGAAGAAAAAAAAACGGAGATAAAGGAAGAAAAGAAATGAGACAAAAGAAGAAAAGGAAGAAGATAAAAAAGATAAGTAGTAGAAGAAAGAATAAAGTAAAGAAATGGAAGGAGAAAACGAAGGGAAGTAATGAGACAAAAGAAGAAAAAGAAGAGGAAAAAGAAAAAAGGAAGAAGAAAAAGATGAAAATATGAAGGAGAAAACGAAGACAAGGAATGAGACAAAAGAAGAAAAGGCCGTAGAAAAACGAAAAAAAGGAAGTAGAATAAAGAAGAAAATATGAAGGAGGAAACGAAGACAAGGAATGAGATAAAAAAAGAAAAGGACGCAGAAAAACGAAGAAAAGGAAGTAGAATAAAGAAGAAAATATGAAGGAGAAAACGAAGACAAGAAATAAGACAAAAGAAGAAAAGGACGTAGAAAAACGAAGAAAAGGAAGTAGAATAAAGAATAAAATAAAGGAGAAAAAAGAGAGAAGGAAGGAAAAAAAAAGAATGTCAGGCATACCGATAAATAAAAAAAAATAACAGCAAAGAGTAAAACACTTGTTAAACTGAAAGAATAGAACAAAAACACTATTAAATAAAAAAATAAAAAATAAAAAAAATCAAAGAAAACTTACAAACCAAGAAACCAAAAGAAAATAAATCTGAAAAAACTCTAAGGAACAAAATATATGAAAGAAAAAAAAAACAATTCGAAATTTAAAGCTTAAAGCAAAATAATAAAAACAAAATGGCGCTTCATCTTACAGTGAATTACAGAGTCTAAGAAACCGTCCACTTGACCAAACAAAATCACCCTGGACAAAATGGCAAGAAGAAAGATACTATGACTTTTGTCCAGGCATTGAAGAAGTCGTTCTTTCGTTGGAATGACTGTTGTAGTCTACTCTAAAAACGTAGTGACTTCTGATCGCAACGGATTACAGGATCGATAGTGACTCAGACACAAATCAGTGGGTTGCTTTTGAATAAATGATGTCCATCAGTGTAGGTTTACAGGTAACGATCGAAACTCTACCTGTTTTGAAAGATCGAATATCTCGTCCTGATATCTTTCTTCTTTTATGTTCCGTGTCCCTTCAGGACGTAGGCAATCATGGTTCTCCACATCTTCTAGAACATTGTAGCGCTTAATAAGCTTTTCTCTTTTTGTCATTTCTACCTAAACCTTGTTTTAACATCCATTTGCGCAAGCTCATCAAGTATGTTACGCACTGTTTTCATCTTTCTCTGTCCCTCAATCTGTCTTATGAGTATTAGATTTTCCAATCACCTCTTCCTCTTACGTTCCCCAGAAAATTCAACTGCCTCTCCCTGATGATAAATATAAGTTTCTTTTGTTTCTATTCTCTCCAAAACACCGTCATTTCATTGCTCACATGATATCCTCAGCATCCTTTTGTAGAACCACGTTTCTGTTTTGAGTCTTTTCACATCATTGAGGAAATTGTCCAGCATTCAATGCCATAGGGGAAGACAGATAACACGTAATAGTTAAGTACCTTTTTCTTTGTTTCTAATGAAAATTTCTTGTCTCTTAATACACTGCTTAGCTTTGGAAGGCACATTTGGCCATCCCAATACGTCTTCGGATCTCACTGTCACACTCTCCGTCCTCCAGATATTTAAATTTCCGTACTTGTTTGATTTTAGTATCCTCGATTACTTATTTGTACTTTGTGTTCTTCGTTTTTCTGATAACCATGACGTCTGTCTTCTTGCGTTTATACTTAGTCCTTTCTTCTCGCTTTCCTTCACTACCTTCATCTATCTAGATTGCCTGATTACTGGAAGGGTTGACAATTCCCAAACTATGATGGAGTTAGCGGTTCATATATATATATATATATATATATATATATATATATATATATATATATATATATATATAACTAAACTTAAGAGCCAGACAAACCTACCTAGGTTTCACCTACGTGGATCGTCAGGGTAAAGCAGGCCAGTTTTACCATGATGATCCGCGTGGGTGAAACTTACGTAGGTTTTGTCTGGTTCTTTAGGTTTACTTAGTTTGCTCTGCTTAGCGTATTGAGCACTTTGATTAGTTATTTTTACTTTACTCGTGTCGGAGGTTTTTTTCTTTGGACTCTGCACTTAGATTCAAGACGATTATTTTCGCCGGAAGTACATGTTCTTACTTCTTTCTGTTTTTCCCCTTTTTCCCCTTGGGTATTGGTTTGTTCATTTACAAGCTAAAACACCTAAGGTTTTGCCGGACGACGAGCATAGCCTCTTATATTATTAGTATATATATATATATATATATATATATATATATATATATATATATATATATATATATATATATATACACGCAGATACACTTATATACGGAGAAAGAGGAGGAGAGATTTTTATTTTAAACATAACTTGAAGAAGACAGACATACTGTTAAAATATTTTGAACACACTCTTGTTTTTTTCTCTTTCTTTTCTTAAATCGCGCTCTTCGCAATCTGTTGCTAAATATTGGAAGAGTTACGTCAGACATTTTGTTTAATGACAATAATAATATTAATAAAATACTCCTAGATTGGATTTAGATGTATAAATGAAATAACCTTTGAGTTAAAGATTGTAAAAGTTTGCGATACTTTTGATGGAACCAAATAGTTTAGTTTTCCATAAAAAAAAAGTATTTCAATTAAAAAATATAAATGAAAGATTCCGTTCGAAGAAGTAGAAAGGAAACTTGCTTTGTTTAACAATTCTTGCTTTATTTTGATTTTTCAAAAGAAAAAAGGATGTATTACAGGACAAAATTTAAAGATTTATCCCGTGTTTATTTGTCTAGAATTAGGTTTCCGGTTCTTTCTAAAATCAAGATCAACTCTGTACTTTTAACGTCTCCGACTAAACTCTAAGAATTCATTTACTATTTATTTTTCTATTTTTATTTATTTAATATGTTCTCCATTAAGTGGAGATAGCTAACCTATCGTCCAGTTCATTCTAATATTTTCTCATTCTTTTTTTTTACTCCTTATAGCACATTGCGTCTTAGTGGAATTAACGCCTTCATTAATGTTATCTGATTAAAAATTGAAGGAAAAAAAAATAATAATAATATATTACTCTACTTGTGCACTTTGTTAAAAGTAAATGCTATGAACATAGAAATTTTCCTCCATAGGTTCTTTTTGTCATATATATATATATATATATATATATATATATATATATATATATATATATATATATATATATATGTGTGTGTGTGTGTGTGTGTGTATGTGTGTATAAAGAGATAGATTGATAAATAGATAGATAGGTAGATAGATGTTGCCGGGAAATTTTATGAGGTATGTTGGATCCGCTCTTTGCCTTCAACATCACTTCTTTACTTCTTGGTAGCGATTCAGCAATGGAAATTCCGTTTAGGAATTTTGATCATTTCTTTTATTAAGGAATCTTACAATATTTTTAGATTTGATTGGTTGCACATACAGGATTCGTGTCTTCTTTTCTACCACATCCTAAATGTTGCCGATGGGACTGTTGAAAACACTTGGACACAGAAAATAAATTACTCTTTTCCACGAACGCTACATTGTCTTTCTGTGGCTGGCACCATACTCATGAATTGAGTCACATGGTCATCCTCAATATCTATCCAGGCCACTATAGTATATATATAGTACGCTCGCATTTTATCAACTTGAATATGTCTGAGCATTTCTTCCATGACATTTTTAATAAAAACTGTTTTCTGCCCACAGAATCCCCGTTTAGTGTAGTTTTTTTTATTTGTCATTTGCTGGCCTTTTCCTCTATAACCTGGAGATTGTTGGGAGAGAAGATATATATTATATTGTATACACACACACACACACATATATATATATATATATATATATATATATATATATATATATATATATATTTTATATATTTGGTTGGAATGATGGAGTTTGTGACGATGGGTTTCACTCTATTTGCGAACGTCAGAAACCCAGCAATACATTTTATGCAGTAAAATGATCGACAATACCCCTGACATTTTTAAAAAAAACTGCTTTCTGCCCACAGAATCCCCGTTTAGTGGAGTTTTTTGTTTGTCATTTCCTGGCCTTTTCCTGTATAACCTGGAGATTGTTGGGAGGGAAGATATATATATATATATATATATATATATATATATATATATATATATATATATATATATATATATATATATTATTTTATATATTTGTCTGAATGATGTGAGTTTGTGACGATGGGTATTTGCGATCGTCAGAAACACAGCAGTATATTTTATACAGTAAAATGATCAACAATACATATTTATAGTAAAACTAGATTACCAGTTACCCAACGGCTTACTGATAGTTCAAGTTATAAAATCCTGAAGATGTTTTCAACATTAAAGAAAAGTTCTGTTTGAAGAAACTTGACATAAAAATATTTATTGTATAAACAATTCGTATTGTTAAATCTTATTCCCTTAAAATATTTTAAAAATCAGTTTAACTTAAAAAAATATTTTTTTATTATGCCAGAAAATATTTTTAAATCATTTTCACTTGAAAATATTTTTTAGAAATGCCAAGAATAATTTTTTATATATTTAAAATATTGTTTGTTTAAAGAAGACCGAAATATTTATAATTATAATTACTCTACAAACAACTGGGCGAAACAGCAAATCGGGATCTCTTTGTGTTTGTCTTTAACTTAAAAAGAATTTAATTAAAAATAGTTTTCTGTTTAAAGAAAGTTAAAATAAAAAATATACTTGCTGTATAAACAACTCGTACATCATTATGCGCCGGACGGTAGCACCACACAAGCACACACACACACACACATTTACAATCTTTTAGCATAGATTACTAACAATACATATTTATAATAAAACAACTGACAATACATATTTAAAGTAAAATGACCTCCAATACTTTTCAGAGTAGAATTACCAACAATATATTTTACCAGTCATTGAAAGCATACAATTGCGTTCAAAATATATTTACTCGATAAAACTGCGTTCAAAATATTTAGATTTCGGCATTAAATAATCCATAGAGATTTATAAGCAGCTAAACAAAATCAACCAACCAACCAAGTTGATAGGGATCTAAATTTTAAATTATCAGTATGTGCGTAAAATCGGGGCGACTGTATTTTCCGGTGGTACAGTTAGATAGCACGATGAAGTGTACAGTTAGACATGTGCTTTCTGGATGTTAGGTTTTTAAATACACCACTTGGGGTGTTGCTGTTTCTCTACCTATATCCTTTGCTTCTCGACACGAAAATATGATGCAGGACTGTTACTCTTGGGAACAAACTCTCCAAAAAAGTGCTTCTTCAATTAATAAGACCTTAAACTCTCAGATGTTGCGTCACTTTCTGAGGTATCATCATAAAATGCCCCTATGATTTCTTCCTCAATTAGCAACTATCTACCTTGAGTGAGTCTTAGGCCTTATATTGGATGAAGAATCCCCCCTCCGCAAAATGCTGTAGTCGTGTTGCGTGTGTTACCCACCCTTTCTCTTATGGATTTTCATTAAATAAATCACGGAGATTGAGCGATGTGTATCTGACCAACACACTGTGTAATTCTGCCTGAAGTCTGGTCGTAAAATATCGAAAAATGATTACGACCAGTTGTCATTTATGGCTTATCTATGATAGGAATATTCGGATGTGTGGCGAGGTCAGTAATACCGCAAAGTGGAGTGGGGCGACACTCTGATTTGGTCCATATGAAAGGAATCGTCTCCGAATAATAAAAACTGATATCATAAAACAAAAACTGCTTATTTGTTGTGTTTGTAGTTAATAAATAGCGAAAAAGAAGATCGAATTTGTCGTGATATATATATATATATATATATATATATATATATATATATATATATATATGTGTGTGTGTGTGTGTGTGAATATATATATATATATATATATATATATATATATATATAATAATTATATATTATATGCGCAGTACTTATTACACAACGCTCAATATCAGAGATAGAGCTAACATATTTGATTGATATGAGTTTGCGATCCTGGGTTTCACGCTTTTGCGATCGTCAGACAAATTGATTTTGTTTGACGATCGCAAGAGCGTGAAACACAGGGTAACAAACTCACATCCATCTAACTATATATATATATATATATATATATATATATATATATATATATATATAAAAAAGAAAGAACAGTAAGATATAAAAAATCCGTAAGATATAAAATTTTACCGTTAACAATTTAAAAAAAACATTCAGACGACATCCATTCAACTGATGTCAGGTTTCATTGTAAAATACATCCCTACCCTTACCAAATTGTAGCTAATAACTGATACAATGATACTGACATAAGGAAAATCTAGACATCCCATGGAAACGTGATTTTAGCTGTGTCTTTAAAACCCGGTAATTTTTAAAAGTTACTCCAAACTTCGCTTGAAGATGAAATGGAACTAATGCTTTTAATTTAATTGCAAAATTAAATTCGGGGTTTTTAGCTTCTATTTTTGAAACATGGTTGGAACTGTGTGAAAAAAAAAAACATATTTTAAATCAATTAATTTATAATATATATATATATATTGGAAACAAGTTGAGGAGCTTATAATTTTTTTTCGTTTTTTTAAGTGAATGATATCAGGGTTAAAGTTAGGGTTAGGGTTAGTTAGCATTGAATTTTATTTTTAACCCCTGCCGCTAACCCTAACGATTTCCCTGCACCGTGACCGTAACAGAGAAGAAATAATGACCATACTAGTTCGTTATCACCTGCCTTTGATAAAGAAAATATTTTATTAAGCCGAGATAATCGGATTACAAATAAGTATAAATAGAAAAAAACTGAACCGGAAGAAGATGTCGCCACCGTCGACGGGAGAAAAGAGAGAAAAAAAAACGTAAACTTGTCGAGTTCACCGTCCCAGGATACACTTTTCTAGGCCCCGGCGCAGAACTGAAAAGACTAAAATACTCAGTGGCACTTAACAAATTGGATTACAAATAAGAACATGACTTAGCATACGCCAACCCGAACTTAACTACCGAGAATGTGGACGAAAAATTTCTCAGGGACACACAGGGAACAGGATTCCTGGGGGAGCGGGGTTAGTCGCGAGAATCGCTATCAAGGCTAAGCGAGCCCTTAGACTGGACGACTGCGTCAGAGGCGATGTCGACGCCGACGGCAAACATAACAATTGCATGAGTTTAATATGAGTTTAAATGGGTTAAAAGTGAGTAGAATGTGATTCATGTGTGTGTTTGTGAGTGGGTTCATGTATCTATCTCGGTTAGGGGAAACAAAATCGTTACTTACGACTTCAAGCCGAGCGTGTCGCTATGTTCCATAACGTTACTGTTATTTTTTTTTTTCTTCCTTTTTTATGGAAGAGCGTGGATTGCTTGTGAACCAAAAGTTATCCGTTATTAGACTATAAATTGCAAAGAGGAGCCTAAGTCCGGTATTGGAAAAACGGAGAAAAATTGTATCTGACGAATGGTACACAAGTCGATATCCGACCAATATTGACTGCGTCACCGCAGAAAAGTGTGTATGATTTTGAAAGAACCGAAACCCAAAATGGACCTCAGCTAGAAACATCACAGATGATGCTTGCCAAAGCATCCAACAGACGTATTTTACTATATATATATATATATATATATATATATATATATATACGATATAAACATATATATATATATATATATATATATATATATATATATATATATATATATATATATATCAGGTTAATTCATCGCCATATTTATATCCAGAAGGGCTTGGATATGCAACTGGTGTAATATATATCGGATCGAAAATGGATTTGGTGAGTTCGATTCCAGTCAATTTTGTTTGCATTCACTTTCGCACAAACAACTTTGGGAAAGGTATGAATCAAGGTATATATATATATATATATATATATATATATATATATATATATATATATATATATGAATCGTATCTGTCTCTGTTTCCGAATGCCCGTATAGCTACTACATTATTTATGGGCTTCTGTGTATGCATCATTTAAGTATCTGTCTATCTGTATAACGCTCGCTCGGTCTATCTATCACCTTATGATTCGCTCTCGGCCTTTGCCAGATAACCGCATCGCCACGATGCAAGGTTTTCTTTTGTGTGTAGTGGCCATAGACATACATATGCGTGTTGGACGAAAGACACAAATTGGCCCAATTAATGCGAAAATGTAATGTGTAAAATGCAGACGCGGGGTTGGAATACACGGGACCGGACGCCTTCAACCATACTATACTATATCTATCTATCTATCTATCTATCTATCTATCTATCTATCTATCTATCTATCTATCTATCAGAACCTGTTCATATCTATCTATCTATTCCAAATTGTTCATATAATGTCTATGTATCTCTACCTCTTGATATAATATCTATCAAAACCTGTTCATATCTATCTATCTATCTATCTATCTATCTATCTATCTATCTATCTATCTATTCCAACCTGTTTATATAATATCTATCTCACAACCTGTTCATATCTATCTATCTATCTATCTATCTATCTATCTATCTATCTATCTATACTATCGATCAACCTATATGTCTGTTCAGATCTATGTATCTATCTTTCTATGTCAGTCGGTTCATATCAATTTCTGTCTCCTCTCACTCTCTCCCTCTCCCCCTCTTTCTCTCTCTCCCTCTCTCTCTCTCTCTCTATATATATATATATATATATATATATATATATATATATGTCTGTTTATATCTATCAACCTACGTATCTGTCTGTTCATAACTATCTATCAATTTCAGTCTGTTCATATCTATCTGCCTATCTCAATCTATTCATATCTATCTGTTCTTATCTATCTATCTATCTATCTATCTGTCTGTCTGTCTGTCTGTCTGTCTGTCTGTCTCTCTCTCTCTCTCTCTATCTATATATATATATATATATATATATATATATATGCGTTTGTGTGTGTATGCGTATGTCTACGCGCCCTCACGCCCACGCGTGTATTTGTATGCATACGCCAATCCGTATACTATCTATGGATGTTTGAGTTGATTGTAAGGGAATTTTTTTAAGTGTACTCGTATAATTGATTTGCATATGCACGATATTGTCTCTCGTTGCCGATTCTGCCTCTCTCTTTTTTTTCTTTCTTTAGCAGAAATAGGTTAGCCAAGAATGGTAATGTTGTTCTAGAGTTCTTCCGCCTGCAGCACGTGATTTCCATCACCAATTCTTTTTTACCGTCACAGATTCGTTTTGTGTGCGTCTGTGATCTTTATTTCATTTTCATTTATATATGCGCATCCTTGTGACATTCGCCTCTGCTCTCGGATAGACGCATGATCTATGCGTAAGGTCGTTCTCACCTGAACATAGCCACGCACAGCACGCACACCATGTGCCGTCCGTGCAAACGCACAATCACGCCGGCAAAACAGGTGCATACAGAGAAAAATAGATCCTACATTCATACGGTGGGGTAATGGATAGCGGCTCGGAATCGGAGAGCCGAGTTCGAATTCCAATTACCTGCTAATACACTTGGGAAAGGTATGAATCCTCTTCTTCTTCCCAACCAGAAATGGGTAAATAGCAGGACAGACCGGGTTCTATAGCCTAGGATGGCAAATGGTCTACCGTAGAAACAAATGGCAACCTACTGTGGGAAAAAATCTGCCTCATCAGTAATGTATCGAAACATATATGATCGCCTAAGCGTGTATCCCACATGGTACATAACTGACTGCCTGCCCCTTGGGCAAGGTATAAATCCTCTTCTACCCCCAGCTATGGATAAATAGTAGAACAGACTATGGCCGCTACCATCGTGCGAAGTATCAGAAATTCATCACTCAGATTAATCATTACAATTAGTGAGTTCACTCCTCAATTTCCCTGCAACTATGGCTTGATGCTAGACTATGTCCGATTTATTTCATGTACGAAATCTATACGTGACTATGGCTCTCCACAGCTTCCTTTTTTCTTTGTTTCTATATGTATTTTTAGTTGTTTTTTTTTATTTATCTTTGTCCCTGTTCTAGTATCAAATTAATTATTCTTAGCTATTGTTCTCCAACATAAGGCCCAAGAGACTCTCAAGGAGAGAATTACGAAATAAGCTTCGTTTATCTAAATTGTAAAATAGTTAATGGTTGACCCTTGAGATGAATGGGTTAAATTGTAGTGACGGATGAAACATCCTTACAGAATTCTGTTCCACAAAATAGCGGCTCTTCGGTAGAAGCTGCCTGAATGGATCTTCCTCCTTACAAATGGAATAAAACACATTTTTCAAGGCCAAACAAATTTCATCATACGGCACGAAAATACATTCATATTACTGCAAATAACCTAAGCTGAAAAAAAAAAACCGGAAATCGAATACACCCTGTCACACCTTTCTTTTTATGTGTCAGCGATCATGTCTCTCCACCTCCTTCCATTCCCTTGCTGCTCTCAACAAGTTCCTTCTCTCTGCCACCTCCTCAAGACCACGATCTGTCATCCAGTTTTAAGCCGGCTAGGTATGTCTCGCGTTGCTTTCCCTTGTCCCTCTTTCCCTCTATTCGACCTGTGAGTATAAGATTCTCCAGACCCTCCTTTCTCATTTTGTGTCCCAGAAACTTCAGCTGCCTTTTCTTGATGTTAAGTATAAGCCTGTATGAAAATAAGCCTTTATGTAAATAATAAATAGATGATATAAATATCCAGGCACTTCGGGAAACATTACAAATATCCCCAGGTATGACGATCAACTACATCCAGCAGCATGGCCCCTGATAGGGTATTTGGAGGTTTTAGGAGCCTGGTGTCACATTTAAATTGTTCTTTTCAGGTCTACCCAGAGTGGTAGCACCCGTTAGATTCTCAGCTGTGGAAACATAGTGACCCCCCAACCCCAACAAAAAGTATATGAGAGTATAAAAATACTCTTTTATAGTTAAAGTATTTGGTATAAAAAAGACTAACAATGCAATTTAGTAAAATGACCAGCAATATATTTTATCTACAGTTCAAGGCATACTATTGTGCTCAAAATATAAGCCATAAGATTGTTCAAATTGTCTTATTTATCACAAAGTTTCGGCCGTTGTACGCTCCGCCCTTCTTCAGGTGGTTGGAATGTCGAACTGAATCCTTTATTTCGCTCACTGGGGTAGACTGTTCTAGTTCCATGTGCCAAGGCGTTGGTTAGATTCAGTGACAGGACCCAAAGAGTGTGAGTTCAATACCCGGTTAAGGCAGTGGAGAACTTTCAGAGGGAAATTAACAGGAGATAACTGATAACTGACATCCATCAAACATGGCACGTGGAACTAGAACAGTCTACCCCAGTGAGCGAAATAAAGGGTCAGGTCGATATTCCAACCATCTGAAGAAGGCTGGAGCGTATAACCACCGAAACGTTGTGATAAACATGGCGACAAAGATGAGGACAATAGTCCGAATAATGTAAATAGTGTACATAATACCACATCTCAGAAATATAGATAGATTGTTTAAATTATTTAGATTTCGGTATAAAATAACCCAAACAGATTGATATGCCGCTAAACAAATTCAACCAACCAACTGTTGTAGAATAGCTGAAAACCCTTTAGCACTCGACCAGATAGCCTGTCTCATAGCCTTAAATATTCTAGGATTAAGGAATTCAACTTTAATTTTTATAAATACAAATATTTAAGTAAGAACTCTGCTTATAATAAACAGTATTAACAATATTTACCGGGCTGAATGTCCGAGAAATTTCATAAAAAATAAGAGTCCTCCAATAGGAATCGAACCTGTCTTTTACACGTAACGGTCACATAGACTGACGTGCTATACCATTTAGCTAAAGGGGAAGCGTCTAGTTAGCTAGGTCAAATTTGTATCTATAAAAATAACGCATAAAGAGAAAAAATATTAAAATAACTGTCGTATTTCGTACATTTCATAATATATGACGTCATTTGTTTAAGTTAAGATACGCTTCGAATAGATATGAGCGTTCGAGGAATTCATGGAAAATTTGAAGTTTAAAATCAGTACTTTGAAATAATGTATAAACAGAATATATATATATATATATATATATATATATATATATATATATATATATATATATATATGCCTTTTATGATAGGTATAGTAAGTTTTATCATAAATCTGAATTAAAATATCATTCGGTTCGATAAGAAATTCGTAGAGAGCCGGGAAGACATGCTATGATACGTGATCAAAATTTCAGACTACAAAATAAGTCTTTACAATGGAGTACACAGGCTGGGGAGAGATATTGCAAAATTTTAGTTTTCTTCGAGTTAGCTCGTGAGGTATTTCACTGATACGACAGCACACATTGCCAACTCCTGATGTCGCACTGAAAAATAGTACAATTTAATTTTCTCGATTGGTACGAAAATCTAGTTCCTCATACCTTTACATGTCTGTGATATTTTTGCTTACAGCTGGTAATCTGATTTTAGACGGCATCAAGCAAACGAAATTCCTTGATTTTACAAATGATGGTGCCTATAGAGGTAACCTGATTCATATACTTCTGAGGAAGTTCATGTATATATATATATATATATATATATATATATATATATATATAAATATATATATATATATATATATATATATATATATATATATATATATATATATATATGAATTTGTAGACCTGTCTGTGAATAGCAGAAATATAGGTAGATGTTATTCTAAAACACTGCATCTGAACCATTCGATGGACTCTAAATATAACCTTTATATATATATATATATATATATATATATATATATATATATAAGAATTTGTAGTACTGTCTGAGAATAGCAGAAGATGGAGTAGATTTTATTGTAAAACACTGCATCCGATCGAAGGGGCTCAATATACCTTCGTATTATGGTATCTAATATATATATATATATATATATATATATATATATATATATATATATATATATATATAAAGGGTAATGGTCAGTGTTTCATAAGATCAGGAAACAATGGTATTACAAAGTGCTCAATACACGTGTGAAAAAATGAAAAATAAACTAATAATAACATGAAGACATTTCAACTTCAAAAGTCAAGAGGTTAGTTGAATACACTACCTCAGTTTCAATGTTTAAAATTATGAAAAAATAAAGCAGAAAAATAGAAAAAATAACTGTAATAAAAAAAAACAAAACAAAACAATAATAAAAAAAAATTATACACTGGGACGAAACCAGTTGAATTTAGTTATTAAATTTACACAAATATTCCTTGTAATTTAAATTTAAATAAGATATTAGACTTGTTCCTTGCTATTATAAAGTTCTATACAACAAAGATATATATATATATATATATATATATATATATATATATATATATATATATATATATATATATATATTATTAAACTAGGAGTTAGATGCACAACGCTGTATTCAGGTTTGCGTAGAAACTGAGCGTTAAAAAAATATAAATTTGATTAAAAATAAAATATTTTGTAATGGTCAGTCTCTATTCAAAACCAGAAAATTGTGTTGTATATGAAACTCTGGTCTTGCTACCACTGAAGGAAAATGTATACTTATTAATATATACTGAATAGCTATTTTATTAACACCAGCAACACTCAAGGTACGTTTTATATATATATATATATATATATATATATATATATAAATAAACATAAAACATTAGGCAGCATATGATTTACATACAAAGAATAATCACACATAGAATTAATCAGAAGTATTAATGCGATTATTGGCGACATCCATCGCTAGAAAACATAATATATGCATATGTGGATTTAACACATCACAAGAAATATTTAAATAAAATTCTCACTTAAAAATTTTGAAAATTTAGCGTTGCGTCTTTGCGCGTTCGATCTTACACACCTGTCAACAATAGTAGATATTCAAAACATCTTTCGGTCGACATACAGGTATATCGTCTCAAGTTTTGATTTTATAAGATAAACAACACATGCCTGATGATGGATGGAAGGCCGTCCGTAAGTACTAGCATTTTAACATCAAATAAACTGAAAACTACAGACAACAAGTTTTTCTTCTAGGATCAAAACTCGCCTCTGGATGAACAGGATTTTTAATGCATATATTATGTTTTCTAGCGATGGATGTAATTAATAATCGCATTAATACTTCTGA